CAACGATGGTCCTTTACAACGAGGGGCAACTTAGTAACAGTCTTTGGCAATAACAACCAATGCGCAGTACACAATCGTGGTCTACCCATAGCCAACAACAACAACGGCCGTCGTCTGTGCACAGACGCAACAGTCAACAGTTACTTTGTCTAGCCGTAATTGCCTGCAACAGCATTAGGTGTTGGCTGCTGCACTCCATACTCAACCCACAGACGAGCCCCACAGGCAAGCGTGATAGTAGCCCGTAACAGTAATCCATGCCCTGTCCTCCGCYCCWGCCGCATTCAGTGATGCAGATCAGCAGCAACCATACCAGCGTCAGCACAACCAATAGCTCAGGTTTACCCCACGTTTAACATGTCGGTTCGTATCTACAGGCTGGGGCTCCATTCCGGCCATGAGTAGTGCAAACCTTCYACTTGTGGTAGAGGCCGGACGAGTASCTGTCGCGTGTCGCACAACTAGGYRCCCATCRTGCAGCAGGGACGAATCTGGCCCCGGAGCATGGACGGATACACCGGAGCTCGGCTATTACCTCCTCCCCTACCACCTATCCTAGGTGAGCCTTCCCTCTCYCTCTCTGCGCTTATGCGTCGTTCATCGTGGCYTTACCCGCCGACCCTTGACCTTGCACATCAATCATACYGATGTGTCACTCAAGGGCGTGGCTCGAGCCTTGGTTCTCTTCCGACTCCTGTTTGTTCCTCGTGCCCTGCCGGAGTTGATAGGACCCCTTCTCTCGACAGAACCAGCAACACTCCAAGTAGCAGGTACGTCTCCAGCCTCTTGRCCAGCCCACGMTGCCCACTCAATGAGACGTACAAGATTGACTGAATCTGCCCGTAAATACGGCTAGATTYACTCAACTCTCYAAAAAGATAGCTACGMGCTCTCCTGGGCGAACTTCAAAGCTACCACACCGCCCATCCTACCTATTGAGTTCAAATCCGACCACGCCCATTGACTCGCTCTCCCCGAACACTCCCTAAGCGAGTCTCCACTCGTTCGTCTTTACCGAGGCGCGGTTGAATTCGAACGCCCTAGTTGCACTTCCTATACTTTCACGCACTCTTTCTTTTTACCAACTCTCCTCCGGTCTCTTTACTGCTAAACTATCCCTGTAGATCAAGTCATAGCTAACGAAAAGCATCAGTCTAGCCTCTCCCTTATCCCCATTCCGTAAGCAATCGAGGAAGACAGAGCCTTCCCCATCGAGTTCAGCCGAGGATTAGGCACGATATCGACTTCTTACTCCCACTCTCCTTCTTCCCCCCGTCACTCCACGCGACACTTTTCCTTACTAACTCATATCTCACTGACCCAACGCCCGAACTGACTCCACCGTTGAATTCGCCCATGCCAAGAACCTCGGATTCGGCTCTTAATTTGCCGGAATCCGTTAAGTATCGGGAGCGCTAGGCGCTATTTCCTCCCATCTTCTCCCTCCTCCTTCACGTCCGACTCCCTTACCACCTCGTCCATTCACTGCTGCATGCGGCCGTCTGGACCCGGCGTTCCCATCTTCAACTAACGCAGCTCCGAATGCTCATGGTGCCTTAGCCCAATTCTTCGTCAATCCCAGTCATTCCTCGCAGAAAACTCCAACGCTTAAACCACTTAAGTAACTTTAGCCCATGTCACCCTACTACCCTTATCTGCTGTTGCCCCTGCTTGCTGCTGATGCTGGCCACATATCGCCTAACTTCCTCCGCTTAGTTTCTTTCCTCTGCTGGACGCACCCGGCGCAAAAACGCGCCCGGGTCCATCCCATCTCAACCCGACGTTCATTATTGCTTCTTTGCCCGTTCGTCCCCTGCGCCCGCTACCTTTTCAGGCACCCCCCCTTGCGCTGCCATCTCCCTCATTCGACGCGCACGCACCCGGTGTTCCTTGGTGTCCTGGTTCACCCTGCCCACCTTTCCTCAACTCGTGCGCGCCGCGCTTATGCAGGGGCCATGTTGATCTTCACTGTAGCGTTCCAATTTGTGTGGATTTTGTTTCCGAAGGATTTTTCATAGCAGCTGGCGCATCGCGGCGCTCCCAAAGGCCGCTCGGTCCTTCTAACCCCCGCCCTGTTTAACAGTGCGCCCGACCTTACTGACGTCCGGGTTCATCCCCGATCTTTCACACTGCGCAATTGAGGCGGCGTCCAATATTCCGACAGTCGCGGCATCGCGTCCCGACCTAAAATAGGGCCGCGAAAAGTAAATAGATAAATATATTAAAATAACAATAATAATAATAATAATAATAATAATAATAATAATAATAATAAAGAAAAAACAAAGACGAAGTAAAACATCAGTTGATAAGGACCTCAAAACGAGGTGCGGGGACGACTAAAACCCCGTTGGTCCGTGGACCGGCCTATTACCGCTCCTATTAGCAAAACTGAGGGGAGATAGCCCCGTCGGGCCCTCAATCCCCCCTGTTTCCTCCATGGTGCCTAACCGCCGCTGCGCCGTCGCCTGCTTGTCTCCATCCCAGAACCTCTGCCGTACCAATCTTGTGTTGTATCCTATAGGGCTAAGCCCAAGCCTGATACCAGCTGGCCTGACTCACCTAATATAGAGGTAGCCCCCGGCCTTTTGTGGCCAAAGGAGCCACCCTATGCCATTTCCTAACCCATACTCACACACATGACCACAAAGAGGCCGCGCCAACCTCCCGGCTGTGCCGCGACTACCCTTACCCGGCCGAATCCATCAGGTCCCATCATCTGGATGCCGCGTAAGGCCACACTCRCTCACTGACCCGTCCATCGTTCCACGCGGAACCTGAGAAAAACACCCATAGGTTAGCCAGCTTAGTCAAAACAAACAATTGTTATAATGGAGCGCGTCGACTGATGTCCGCGCCACGTCTGCTAGTATAACCAAAGGAAAAAAAAATCACGCGCGCCTCAAGCTTGCGCGCCCACGCACTTTTTTACTCTCGTCAACCATCTAGTCGACATAAATTACGGACGCTGCCGCACCTGGCGCGCCATACTTAAACCTTAAACCAAACTGCTTTCTGTTGTTTGCAAAGACCAGGGCGGATACCCTTGTAAGGGTATTCGCACCGACAGCTTACCGGACCATATTAAGCGACGTCCCTGTCGCTTCGCAGGATAAAAAAACTATCAATTCAATCACAATCCCAAAATGCTAACGAGCAGGGTACCAATCCGATCAGCCGACAGACCCAGGGTTGAGGCCTCCAATAATCCATGCCAAACACAACTTTATGCTGCCCGGATTCTAACCTGGGTCTCCGTCGCCCTGACACTCGGACGTCGGGATACTCCTCACTGTACTACAGCATAAGCTCCTTTGGATCTCTCACTGTCCCCTTCCCTGTGCCCTAAACAACCGCCGACTTTTGGTTGTGTGCCCCTAGCCTTTTCCCCTTGAAACCAAGTCGTGACTAGGGGTGCGGGCCTTAACCGAGACCTTCGAAGGCATTCTCTCGCCTTCCTCTAAAAAATCTTCATATTAACACACGTAGTCGTACCACATAGATTCTCACATAAGCTCTCCTGCAGTCTAGTACAGGAAGACTAGGTCTCCGTCTTGGCCCACCATAGTCTGGGCGATTATTCCAGATCTACGACCCACCGCATTGTTATTTTAGCGGTAGCGCCTTGCGGGTTGTGCCACGATAGGCTGTTCCTGATAAGCATTTAATCAGGACTTCCTCAAAAAGACTCATATGACTCGACTCTTATCCCACGCCTCTCCGCAGGAGTAAAGCCCTCCTAGGCGTTCACGCCCCTTTAAGTCTTTACTCCCTTGGCCAGACGCAGACCCTCTCCTCAGGTTGTGCCAAACAACGACCAACACTAAGGGTTGCACCTTAGTAATGCTAGTTATACCCCAAGCTGGGTCTCTTATAAATGTCAAAGATTAGCACAAGCGGTCAGACGGTGTGTCGCAACAATACAAGCCTACTGCGGGACTACGCATAGACCTGTCACACATAAAAATGTATTTACCAGTTCCTTTCTTGGACAACACAGAGGGAGCACGACAACCTCTCCACAATCACAAAACAAAATCACCATCTGATCCCCAAGGCCGTGGCCTCCCAGCTTCATCAGAGCAAGAAAGTTACACATCTTGATGACATCTCTTAAAACACACCATTTGCGACATTCAAGAAATTCACCAATAGTCCAACAAAAATTAGGTCCCTCTCGTCATTCTTTTATTACTCAAAGTCAAACTTCCATTAATCAATCTTATTAACCACCTTATTTATAGAGGAGGTCTCACTTTATTAGGTCTCTCAGTCATCCCTCTCTCACTAGGATGACCTCTCTCGCGACCTATTCTTTAATGCATCTTTCCTCTCTGAAGATGCGTCTTCCAAATAGATAATGGACAACGTTTCCATTCACAGGTGTCCCACTCATCATATATTCCATATAAAAAAAGCCAACATGTGGGTCTTCTGCACAACTCAATAATTGAATACTCACCATACGAATATTCAGGATCCTCACATCCTTTCACAAAACAGACTGCGCTTCCTTGCCTTATACTCGACTCTCTCATCCGCCCAAGGGCAGGTCGCACGAGTATACCGGCGAGTAGACAGTTCACATTCATCCAGATTCACAAAGTACAAGATACATCAAGCATTTTCTCGCGCATATTTCACACTAAGCCATCATCCATCAAACCAGGACCACACAAGTGAGTGTGAGAGTGATTGTCATATACAAAATATCTCAATATAATGTACACTCAGGGATAAAATATCCCACATGAAATGCTTCTAACATACACTCAGGGGCAGAACGCCCCATACACAAATGTCCCAAAATCGTAACCCACTCAACTCACTCAAAGTCACACTCACACTGATGTCGTTCTCAAAATACAAGCTGGGCCTGTCTCTCGAAGATCAGGGTACAGACCTCATCTACCATGTCCCGGTCCTCAAGATGGCAGACTCAACAAAAATCCAACCCAAACTGCCTGACAAAAAGCAAATGACACGTAGGTATACAGAATGACATCCAATCCTAACTCTAATCCTATACGCAACATGTCAACCATATAGGAAAACTCAGTCGTGGTCGCTCATCTCCTCCTGGTTTTGCCTATATAGCTGAGCCCTACCCCCATCTGCAGATCTCTCTACTCTCCTGCCCTGTCTATCATACATTCTGCCTCCTTCCTCTGTAACCTTCCCCTCAGCCTTGTCCTTTAGGAACTTAGGACATTGCAAGGCTCGATGCCCCTCCTTTGTACAAAAGAAACAGGACGTATCGAACCACTTCCTGGACCTCTTCTTTCCTCTCTGAGACCTTGACGACGATGGTGCTTCGCTAGCCTCCCTGCTCAGCCCATGGCTCTGAGGCATATCCAAAGGTTCCTCTCCTGTCTCCATCTCCTGGGTACTCGTCCCTGGTCGATCCTCAATCCCCCCTGGCCCGTACTCAGGTGTGCCCAACCTCTGGAGCCCGCCCTCGATGACACCCTCCGTCTCAATCCTCATCTCTCTCTCGAGAGGCTCCTCTATCCTCTGCTCAGGCGAAAACAAACTCGCGTCCTCCTGCATCGAGTGCACTGCCTCAATGAGTACGTCCATAGATCCCTCTGCTGAGCCCTGAGCTGGCTCACTGCTTGATGGTGGTAGCCCCTCTTCAACTGCCAAAGGTATGACTGGGCCCGCCGCTGCTATAGGTAGCGTCGCGAGCTCAGTAGGGGCTCTGAACTCGAAGGCCTCTCTCTCTGCCTCCCTTTGAGCTCTCGCCTCCTCTGACTCCAGAATGACTCTCCCCATAGGTGGCTCCTGGCGAGTCTCTACTGTCGATGGCTGTCCTGGCAAACCATGTCCTGACCGCATTTGATCTTCCTGTCGGCTGCTCTCTGGCTCGTCCACTTCTCCCTGAGATCGCTGCCTCAGACTCTCGATGATTGCTGCTTGACTGGCCACCAATGCCCTGAGTTCTTGGATTTCCACCTCCATAGCCTCCAGGCGTCCCCCATGACCTGCTTCCTTTATCTTCTTTCCTTCCAGATCGCTCTCCAATAGCAAGTGCCAGTCAAAAGTTGCCTTGGCCAGGAACTTGATTTTGCGATCCAACCTTTCTTCTGCCTTCCTTGCCACCCCAAGTCCGACTCTGACTGGCGAAGGACGCTCCTCTCCTCTCTGCTCCCAAAAGTCCCTCCCATCTCAGGGATCTCCGGGGCCCTAGCTGGCGCGCTGGGTGGCTGACCGGGGAGTACTCCTGCTGCCTCCGATCTCTGCCTCTCCTGCTGCTGCTCCGGAAGTTCCCCCGCTGCCTCCAACCTCTGCCTCTCGTGTCGTATCTCGTCTATCCTTTTGGTTTTTCTCGCCCTCTTTTCCTCTGCCGTCTCTCGAGCTGGCGCCCTTTCCCTCGTGCGGAGGTCAACCCTCTTCGGGATCTCTGCAACCATCTCCTTCTCGGGTTGGCACGGCTCCTGGCGCGGCTCTGCAAGTGTTGGCTCTTCCAGGTCTGGGTGCTCCAGGGCATGAACTGTTAGGTGTCTGTCAATCAGGGTCAAGGCTTCTCTCCTTACAACTGCCCTCTCTCTCCTCCTTTCTGCTCTCTCTTCTAGCGAAGAAGCCTCCTCTCTCCGCAACCTCTCCCCTGCCTGGCGAGTGCTCCCTGGTGCATCCCCGAGTCTCAAACCCACTGCTGACGTCTGAGGGGGCGCGTCCTCTCCAACCTCTATCACTTCCTTCCCTGCACGCCTCTCCTCATCGCCCAACCCTCTCTCTCGCTGAGTGTCCTGGACCTCCTCCTGTGGCACCTCCTCTCGTGGCACCTCCTCTCGAGGTACCTCCTCTGCCTGCTCTCCACGCTCCTCACCCCRAGGCGATGCTCTCCACTGAGAGRTATCCAAATGCGCMTCYAACTCCCTCAAAGGCTCCTCAGACGCTGGCGGCTCCTCMTGTGTGYGTGCTSGCGACCTCCTCAATCCACCCTCGGCAAACCRATGGAACTCCACTGGTCCYAACCCACACTCAGGGTAYGCGCCTCACTCCTCRGTCTCTGGCTCTGGTTCCTCCTCTCTCCTAGCTAGGGCCTTTCGCCCTCCTCGAGATGGTCTCGCCTCCCTTGGCTCAGGGTCCCTCTGCCTCTGACTCCTCTGACGCCTCTCAACTCTGGGCTGAGGGGGCTCTGGCAGTCGAAAGGCCTCTCTCAAATGTGCCCTGCAGCTCTCCCAGTCCCGGACCATGCTTCTGACTTGCCTAGCTAGTGGCCTTTCCGCCTTCCTGGTCCAGAGTGGTAGCGTCTGCATCCAATCATCTCTCGGTATACCCTGCCCCTGCATGAACCACTCAAACGCATCCATCTTCTACCGAAAGGACAAAAAATACAAAACTTTAAATTGTGGCGGCGTATCTTTCGATGTTCTAGCGAAAGATTCATTTGGGGTCAGGCCTTTGTTGGCAGCACCTGTATCCCATTGGGCCTTGGCTCCAGCACGGATCGGCCTGCCATCAGGTCCCACAGACGAGGGTCGCAGCTCCTGCATCCTCCACTCCACCTCTGATCTCGTCGTCGCCTCTCTACGGATCCATGCGACGGGCTCCTCGAACCTGCCTGCTCCCCTCAACCTCTCAATCGCCTGGGCCACGGTCCAGCCCATACGCCTCGCATGATCCCAAAAGTTGTCCAGGAATAGCTCGATGTCCCCATCATCGTACACCGGAGTACTCTCTCGATGGCGAGGCCCATGCCGCTCATATCCTCCTGATGCTCCCAACGGCCTCTAAGGCGGCCGTGTCCCCTTCCCTCCTCTTGGCATGGCTGTCTTCGTAAAGTCAGACCTGCACAACAGGCGAAGGAGACAACAGGCACACATTGGGGTAAGCAAACAGGTGATAATCAAAGCAAGCTCAGACCAGACCACACTCATACAGCATGCATCCTACCTAACCTACACACCCTGCTACTTTTATTCTAAAGGCAGTCAGGTCAACTCCCTTACCTCTTCTCTTGCCACAAATTTCTTCAATCTCGTTCCAGATACCCAATCCTTCCACTCAGTCCCATTTAGCTCCTCAATCTGGTACGCTCCAAAATCTCCGACCCGTACGATCCGATAGGGACCTAACCACCTCTTATCAAGTTTCCTGGACCACTGCTTTTCCAGCGATGAATCGTAGAGAAGCACGACGTCCCCAACTGCCAGAGGTACTTTCCTCACTCGAGCAGATTGATCCCATCAAGTCTTATCATCCATACGACTTTTAGCCACTTGATCGGACGCCTCCTGGATCCTTTCCTCTATCGCTCCTATCTGTCGCGCCCGAATGTCGAGCAATTCCTCAAAAGATAGGTCGACTTCCAGATCCTGGCGCCTCCAAGTCTTGAGAAAGCTTTCAATAGGGAAGGTGGCGTGCCGTCCACACCACAACGTCGCAGGTGCGTACTTGGTGGATCTTCTTACTGTAATGTTCTCGACAAAGAATGTCGCCTTTAGGTACCTTGGCCATTGATTAGGTCTCCCCTCGGTCCACTTAGCCAGAAGACTCGTAATGGTACTGTGCCTCCTTTCCACAGGAGCATTTGCCTGGGGGTGCGCGGCCTACACCATACCTTGATAACAACTCCTGCACCTTTTGGCAAGTAAATTCCGATCCCCTGTCCATTACGAACTCCCTGACGAAAGGATAACGCAGGTAGTACTCTTCGATGCAGCTAACCAAGACTGAACCAGTCTTGATACGAATGGCACGACCATCTACGAAGCCAGACAGGTTATCACGCGCATTATAGCCCTGATCCCCAAGCGGCATAAGAAGTAGGTCGAGATGCACTACAGCCCCCACCTCTCGCTCTAGCCTTGGATGTAACGGCTCTCTTTGCCTCAAACGAGACCTCTCTTGGCAGCGTACACAAGATCGACAGAACTTTCCAACCATGCCCATCATTCCATCCCAGTAATATAGCTCGCTTATTTTGACATACGTGGCTTGTGCTCCTCGATACCCTCCTGCAATGCCATCATGAAGTGCTGCTACGACGTCAATCTAGCGGTTCCTTCCGCAGACGACTCTCCTGGGATTCCCCACTTCTCTTCTTACGAAAAGATGGTCATCTCACACTAAGTAGCGCTGCGGCATCCTCTGGGCTCTATCGCTCGCATCCCTTAGCCGCATCTCGCAAGACAGGAGAAGCCCCAACTCCAGGTAGATCCCATTATATTCTTCGGCGCGAAAGGCCTCCTTAATTTCCCCCTCCTCGAACTCGTCGTCCTGACTTTCGGGCACTTCGTCCATATTCCCTGCCGGGTTCAACGAGTCTGACTGGTCGAGGCTTTCCTGCAATAGCGTGTTGACGAGGAGATACATTCCTCCCATCAAATCCTCATGTCGTTCTACCTGGCCTGATCCTTCCTCGATCGTTCTTATGTCTTCCACCAGACTATGCGAACTAGCCAGTGCCAACTCCATCATCCACTGAACATCCTTGTCTCCCTAAGGATCTTCTTCCTCAAAAGGTTTGAGGACTAGCTCAACCCTCCGTTCGTACCCACTTGGCGCCTGCCAGATAGGATAACCTACACAGCTGGACACTCGCGGCGACCACTTGTTGATATGGAGACGAACATCTTCCTCTTGATCCAGAAATCCGTCAACTGGGGGCGTATTCTCCACCACCTCCCCTTCCTGTTTAGTTGATCCGACTCAGCCGTCCGCCCGGTTCTTACTACCAGGAATCCGTTCCAATTCGAAATTGAACATCCAGATGTACGTCAGCCATCTGGCAACCGTCGGATCCGATGGAACGTAATTCCTTAGAGAGTAGGCCAGGGCGGTCGGATCTACTCTCAAAATAAACCTCCTGCCGAAGATGTAGTTCCGGAAGATCCGTAGACAGTGGAGGACAGCAAGGGTCTCCCATTTGAACTGAGAGTAGTTCCTCTCTGTCGTACAGAGAGTCCGGCTCTCAAATCGCAAGGGCATTTCCTTGCCTTCTATGTCTGCCTGAATTAGAAGTCCTCCTAAGGCAGTCGGCCCCACATCCGTTTCGACAATGAAGGGTCGCGTCTCTGTGGCATCATAATCTGGCGCTCCTAACACCAACCCTCCTTCTCGAAATTCCTCCTTCATTCTGGCCACCACCCCTTCTTGCTCTTCTCTCCAAACCCATTCCTGATCCTGACGGACTAACTTCCTCAGGTGTTCAGTCTTAGTGGCAAAGTTCTTGACGAAGGCCCTTCAAAATCCACACGTACCAAGGAAGCTCCTGACATCTGTTATTGAGTGGAATGGAACTGGCCACTCAGTAATCTTGTCCGTCTTTTTCACATCTGGCCTTCGGCCTTTCTCGCTGCAGACAAACCCTAAGATAGTCGCTTCCTTCATGCAGTGTCTGGATTTGGCCCCGCTCGCCGTGAGGCTGTGCTCCTCAAGCAGACTCAGGACTTTATCGAGGTCCTGGATGTGCTTCCAAACAAAGCGCCTTACCCATGGCAAGACCTCGTCGCTCTCCTTTATTGCCGGCTCCTTCACCGCCAAATCAACGATGTATGGCTGTGTGATATGGGGGCTAACTGACTGCATAGTCCGAATCATGGCCCGTTGGACCATTGCTACCGCGTTGGTCCACCCTTATGGGGCTACGTTCATGTGGATTAATCCTCGTGGCGTGTGCATAGCCGTCACCGGCTATTCGGCGGGTAGACTGGAAACTGATCATATCCTGAGTAAAGGTCTACAAGTGAGATTATAGGCCTTCCAACACAGGATTCTGACAGAGCATCCGCATTTGGCAGTCCTCCAGCATCCCGCACGGTTACCGCATTCAGCCTCTGCAAGTCTTGCACCCACCGCAGCGTCCTGTTAGGTTTGATGAAGCAGAACCACGGGGACGCATACGGCCCACTCGAATAATCGGCGACGCGCCTACGTATCTTGCCGTCGAGGTAATCCACCACCTTCTTCTCCTCGTCAGGATTAGGATATCGCGCCCCTCTCATGTTCCAAGGCTCGTGTGGCACAGTGTGGATGCGGATCATAGGTATTTTGTCCACATCCAGCCTGCCACGCTCCTCGTCACTAAACTCATAGGCGCGATACCTCCTTTTTATCAACTCCATTATCAATGTCCGTTCTTGGGGCAATAGGAAGTCGGGCTCCCCTATAATCAACTCCCCTTCATTCCCTTCGTTGATACGACATAGTTTTGCTAAAGCACTCCCCATCATTCGCCGTATCAACCCTCGTTCTCTCTCGTAATATGCTTCCTCGTCCTCTGTAACGAGGACGGAAACCGGGCGACACTTCTTGTCTACCATCTTGTACCTCCTTTGGGAACCCTGCTTGAGCCGTCCCCTAAAAAAGGCCGACTCACAGATTGCGCCTGCGCGGACGCAGGGTTCTTTCTTTCGTCCGGAAGACGATATACCAGCTCCAATCTCCCAGCCTTGGGGCATTCCAGAACTTGCTCCCTCAAGGTGTGGATGGCATCCGGATCCGCCATCTCATGTGCGGCCACCAAATCCATGGCCTTTCCGACGTCCGATAGGCTAAGGAAAAACGCTTTCACCTCTTCTTCTCCTTCCGGCTCCGCCCGAAGCCTTCGACGCTCACCCTCCGATTCTTCGATCGTGAAGGATCCTGGGTTAGGCCGGTTCCTTATACTCCTTGGTCTTGTATTTCTGCAGGTAATTATCTCATAATTTCCGCAGGCAGGGTCACATAGGAGGAGGATCAGAGTATCGTCATGCTTGTTGAACATCACGGTTTCTGTTCTACTCAAAAATAACCTCCCTAGAAGGATCCCATGGTCCACGTCCGGCATGATGAAGAAGCAAGCTCGGGCCTTCACCTTCCCAACCTCGACGAGTACATTCGAGGCTGTCCCACAAAACACGGCCTTGCAGCTGGCACCGTGCAAAATACCGCAGTCAGATCGGTCAATGTTTAGCCCAAATCTGATAGAATCCGCCTCCCGGATGATGTTCATTTCTGCCTCGGTGTCCACCATTGCTGCACACTTGGAGCCCTTCACCACCAAATCCACCGTGCCGCAGGCTACACACTTCCAGTCAATTTTCGTACCCGACTCCGCCCACTCTGCCTCCTTGGGCAGGATCGTACCCAGATGGACGTTGAGCACCAAGCGCCACGACAACCTCCCTTTCAATTCATCGCGGAGTCGAGGGGCTGACGCTAGGATTTCCTTCAGGACATGAGGTCATTATGCCCTTCTAGCAGCCGGTCGATCACTTTCTCTACGTCAAATCCCTCTTCCAACCGAACCGCGTACTTCTTCCTTTTGGGTGGTCCGTCACGTATAACCGGCTCGGCCTCTCCCCTGGTCCCTTTTTTCCTTGCCCGCTGCTCCGCTCTCTGATCCTCTTCTCGGCGCAGCCTCTCGTCTTCTTCCTCTTCATCATCGTCCTCCTCCACTTCCACGGCCTCTTTCCTTTTTTCCGGTTCGGGCTCCCTCCTCGAAGGCTCTTGGCTGACACTGGTCTTGGCTTGATTCCTCGTTCGCGCTGCTTGTGCCAGTCGGGCCTGCGAGGTGAGGGGTCTCCCCATCACCCCCGATTGTGGGCTTGACCCTATCACATTTACTCCGGGACGCCCAGGTGCTGACTCCGGGCCGGAGTCGTACAAGAACATCTTAGGGATGCTACACTTCCATTCCCTCACCTCCTCACAGAGCGCCACCAACTTCTGTTGGTACCTTCCCACCTTGTCCAACAAGTCCTCAATTTTTCCTAATAAGACGGACGGAGGCTCCATCCCTCTTTCCTCGTCCTCGTCATCCGACTCGATGATTATAGGCTCTTCCCTCTTGCTTCCACCTCGTGGCTCTTGAGTTACTTCCCCTTCGCTCCCCACTTCCTCTACCCCAATCGGTGGTTCTTCCTTTTCCTGCCATAATCTGAATTCTCCTATCCCCACCGATGGTCCTTTCTTCTCCTGCCATAGTCTGAATGTGGCAGGAGGTAGCGGCCCGGCTGCCACCCTCCGTTGAGCTTCCGCCCTTACTCCCCCGAGTCTACTGTCGATGAACTCCCCAAATTGATCATAAATGTTCCCGTCCATAGTGAAGGAAATCAGCCCGCTTTTCTCGTTTTCCCGTCTTATGTTACAGAACCTTATGGTGTGGCCTTACTGGTCACAATGCTGGCAGATGGCCGACCTCCAATCAAAACGGGGCCTTCCGTATCCCTGACTTCCCTTGTCCCCCTGGCCTTGGTACCCCTGGCCTTGATTCCCTGGCCTTGGTACCCTTGGCCTTGGTTTCCTCGGCCTTGACCATTCCATTGTCCTCCTCTTTCGCCGCCATTCCTGCCTCGCCCCCTCCCTCCACCCCTCCCTCAGTTGCCTTGATTGCCCTGCCCCTGGTTCCCACCTCCAGCCACGCTTCCCTGTATGTTGGGAGCAGGTGACGGCGGCGGGCCACAGGCTGGGCCTGGGCTGCGGGGTAGATAGGTGGCGACATACTCATTTGTGGTCCGGCAACTGGCGGCGGGCTACCCCATGACACGATTGCGTTGATCACCAGCCAGGGCCACTGTCCGTAGGAGGGTGCCCCTCCTTGCGAGGGGCCCGCACTAGACGAGGGCGCCGCCACACTTGGAGGAGCCGCCGCCACCACCTGAGGCGCCTGCGCTTTTCCTGATCCCTGTCCGCCCTGCGCCAAGTTACGCACTTTGCGCTGGGTCTTCGTCAGGTGTTGTGGCACCGACTCTTCCTCTTCCCAGAGCTCCTCCTGAACAACCTCCTCTACCACCGGCTCTTTTTTTTTTACTCGGCCAGTCGTCACTACCCTCCTTTGCACCACTGGCTCTGTCGCATACCCCAGCTGTGCCAATACGTCTGTAACAATCCTTGTTACCCCCGGGGTCCCAGAGGCGGTCGCATCTCTTTCCTTTCTCTTCTGCCTTTGCAGGTGTACCTGACGTTGCTCCACCTGGTCCAAACACCCAACTTCCACCCCTCTGTCAATAGTGGCCCAGGTGAGCTTGGTGCTACCTCCTCCATGCCTTGTCAACTCGACGGCCTCCGATGCCGTGAGTAGCCCCAGGAAGATGGCGCACTGTGATTCCTCCGAAATCCCATGGACCTTCCGTGCCTTTTTCTTGAACTCCTGGACAAAGGCCCCTATCGTCGTAAAATCCTCCTTTTTCATCGCCTCCAGGTCCGCGGTGGTCAGCAATCCATCTCCCAAGCGGTACTTCCTTTGCATCCCCTCCTTGAACCTTTCCCAACCACCTTGGGCCGCATCTATAACTTTCTTCACCTCTTGATGGTAGCTGTGGAGGACATACTGGAGGATGCGTTGAAACTTCACAACGTCCGACCGCCCGACCAAAGCTTGTTCCACCCGCTCCAGCCATTCTGAGACTCTTTCTCCACAAAAATGGAACGTGTCGACCTTAGGGATATTGCTCGGGTTCCTTTCATGCCGGTCAATGACCGCGATGAGGTCATCGAGCGTCAAGCCCTTCTTGGGAGCACCCGATGCACAGCCAGTTTCTGGCATCTTGACTGCCTCTTCTTTTCAAGCTTCCTGACAAGAGAAAAACAAGCACATTCCCTTGTTCAACATTACACCTTGACCAGTCTAATCCACCTCCTTTTACCTAACTCTTACTACATACTTTACTCAATACTAGCACAAATGCCCCTCTTAATTTTCCCATAACTCGGGCAGGTAAACTTTCTCATCTACACTTAGTCACTCATTATTTTTCTCCTTACCTTCTCATCATTCATTTATGCCTTTTCTCATTCACTTCTCATACCCGGATGTCGTTCCACCAGGGACAACGACAGGCTTTCCGTTATCCCCGGCAACGGCGCCACCTGTCGAGCGCATCGGTCCGACACCACACCAGGCCAGCGCGGGACCCTTCCGGCCGCGTCATGCAGGAGTTGGTTTAAAAAACCTTCGTCGCGAATATACATGGAGCTTCCATAAGCCGCTCCGGCCGAGTGCACCAGCCATACCTCTCGCGAGCCCCTACGACAGAATAGGGCCTACGCGAGGCACAACTTACCTACACCTTACGGGAGCTGTCACCTCCCTTCGGTGGGCGTATCTCCGCCGAGCTACCAGTCCACAGTACGAAAGCTAATCTGTTGCAATCGCAGAGGTGGACCAGCCGAGGACGTTTCTCGTTCGCTGTAGCATAGGGGGTACGCGCGGTAATACGTCTCTATCGGACCCGCACGCGAACTGACATCATGGGGGGCTGAAGTCCCAAGCGCGGCTCGTCGTCGGTCGACAAGGACGCATCCCATACACCACGCGCACACCACTTTACGAACACAAAAATAAAACCCCCCCACACACATACGAGGCAACATAATATAAACAACGCGACAACGCTCCTAGCCCCTCGGTAGCCGCCCCATAACTTCCTGATACGGAAATCGGATAGGCGTCGCGCGCGAGACTTAATATAAATCCATGCGGACGCAAGGCTATCGCATAACGACTTGCAATGCAAACGTGCGCGAGCAGACGCAATGAAGGCGTACTATGTAGTACCCCTACTCACGCGATCCCTGTTAACCGCGAGGGTCGCGTTCGGCACTCAAGTGTCGGCTGACATGAGCCTTGAGGGTTAATCTCTCGACGCTGGACAACTTCCATGCGCAGTTGAAGACCACACCCTCTTCTGCACCCTATACAGAGGGGTTGAGTAGACAGCTTTAAACTGTCGTGGCGGTCGAACATCAAGGGGTTTGACTTTGACGGCTGTCACGGACTATAACGTCCAACTATAAAAACTCCAAAGAACAAAAGATAAGGAATAGGCCGAAGGTTCCCCGCCTAGTAAACAAAATCATAGCCCTGGGGCGTTGACGGCCTATAACAATCTCAAACATTCGCCCACATGTGTCGGTCTTTTTGTAATCCCATAACTCTTTACACACTAGGGCGACAAAGCGTCGCGCGCGGGATTTTGATATAAAGTCGCACAGTCAAAGGCCTATCTCATACTAACCCGCAATGCAGGCGTACGCATGCAGTCGCAACGATGGCGTACTATGTAGTGCTCATAATCAAGCGGTCCCTCGTGGATCCGAAAACTGCTTATGACACTCAAGTGTCAGACTCGAAGTGTCGTGAGGGTCTGATCCTTCACGACATTGCACGGCTGAAGGAATAGCCGTGTGACCGTCACGAGACCTCCGGTCTTTGGTCTAAGCGTCTCAGTAAGCAAGGCAAATGGGCTCTGCGCGAGGGAAAACCCTTTCCCTGCAGAGCCTAAGGCTTGGGATGTCCTGGACAAGGACCTCGAATCCCGGCCCATGACCAACGTCCGACTAAGAAAAATCCTTAAGAAGTAAAACCAATAAAGGGCAGGGCCTTCCCTAGGCCTCTTAGTCTTAACCCCTAAGCAGACTTTTAATACGGGGCCTTTTAGCCAATGCAAATATTCACCCCAAGTATACCCATATACATACATATATAACAGGGGAAAGTATGTGACGATCACTTCTCACAATCTCATTGGGGTCCCTCACAGCCATACGTATATATGTGATTGCAGGCAACCACATCCAGAATCTGATTCATAGCACATACATGCGAATCACATCAACGAGTCAATCAACAGCCCACGCACTACACAGAGTCAACCCCAACCATCTTCAACACTCAAACCCCTCGCTTTAGCCATGCAAGCCCCAACCTCCTGTCCAACCAACCTTAATTAAAAACTCGGTACCTCTGTTAAATGGCCATTCAATAAAAGTCCGGATGAAAGCATAACGAAATAAAGAAAATCACAAGGGCTAAAGCCTTTTAGGTTGGGTGTGGAGGGTGAGTTGGAATTGAGTCGTAAACCGACGAATCGGCAACCGACCTGTTATCAGTGATAACAGATAATGATCCTCAAGGGATCAAGTTGAATCTAGTCTTGACCTTGAATCAAATAAACCAAAGGACCTGTAACATAAGATAGGTCAAATGCCCAGGCTAAATCATCAGCATATGCGGGATAAACCTCCATAGCACACCTCCTTATAATACTCTCTAGTACCACCTGTCGAAAATAATCCAACTCCTCTGAAAACAGGAAAATTTCGGCAGCGCTTCCCATAGGACAAGTGCCGCCTCAGAATTTATATAAGCCCAAATATGAAATCAGAAATAACCCTTCACTCTCCAAAGTCCAATTTTGTCTAACTCATTGAATTAGCAGAATTTTGGGCAGCACTTCCTTTAGAAATAAGGCTTCCCAAAATTTTACTAAGTCATATATGAAGTCTAGACAAGTTGAACTTTGAGAAGTCAGAAATTTAACTTAGACAAGTTGAACTTTGAGAAGTCAGAAATTTAACTAACTCCCTGAATTAGCAAAATTTTGGGGAACACTTCCTTTAGAATAGGAGGCTTTCCAGATTTTTACTAAGCCAGATATAATGAAAAGACAAGTCATGCTTTGACAAACCAAATTTTTGACTAACTCCCTGAATTAACAAAAATTTGGGCAGCACTCCCTTTAGAAAAGGAGGCTTCCCATATTTTTACTAAGTCAGAAAGACAAGTCAAGTTTGGACAAGGGAAAATTTGACTAACTCTTTGGATTTGTAGAAATTTTGGCAGCGCTTCCCATAGAGAAAGTGGCTTGTCAATATTTATACAAAGCCAAGTACAAGAAAAAATCCCCGAAAATGCGAGAATTGACCTAAGTAAAAAAAAACTTAGCTTAGAAAATGCAGGAATTGAAACTAACTCTTATGGCTCTAGCACGTGGCGAGCGACTAAAACAACTACATGTCAAACTGAAATTCATACTAAGTAGTAGCCTCACTCAGTCACATGCAGGCCAAACCACAAAGGTAAGTACTCTCACCATCCCAAAGTCAACATGAATAAACAAATAGTTCATGATCTCTCAATAACTTAACCCATTATCCCCAGCTTACATAAGGCATAGGTCAGGCCGCCTGAACTTACAGAACAACTCAACTTAGCCAGGCCTAGAGTCAGAATACCTAAACTTATAGAGCGTTCTGACTTGGCCAAATATACACAAACAGAGGGCACAACTACTTTTCTCTTCGTTGGRCATATGACTAGACCACTCTASTCGCCCTGAACTGTTTAACGTATCCAAATTATATATACTTATMTTTCACCTTTGTCTTCTAAGRCTGCATATGACTGAATTAACTTAAATTCRGCMTGCCCSAGCTTACCATCAATTTTATTCTTAGTTATACTCTCTTCAAGTTGTGATACGGCTATAGTCAGACCACCTAAACTTATAGAACAGTCTGATTAGCTCGTTTGTAGATAGAGTAGTAATAAAGTATAGCCAAGTTATAACCATTGGGTTCTAGCATGTGCGAGGCTTTGCGCCAGACCCCTTGAGCTTACAGAAGGGTCTTAACTCTCTGCCAGATTCATTTCTATCTGAGTCATTATGTGTATGGCATCGAGTCAAACCCCCTGAACTTACAGAAGGGTCTGCCTCTTTGCCAAGATTAATTCTTCAAAATAAAGAGCAGGAAGAGACCGAGCCACCTGAACTTACAGAACAACTCGGTCTCCTCGTTCAGAAACCAAAGAAACAAATAAAATTCCAATGAAAACAAAGCAACCCAAGACATTAAAACTTATTGAGCGCCCTGAGTCCTTGAAAATCAAGCACAGTCAAACCCCTCACAGATCAGAGCAATCAGGCCACCTGAACTTACAGAACAGCCTGACCCTCCATGCAAACCATATCACTGGGTCTCCCCAAACTTATGGGGACATCCCAACCTTCAGAGTAACCAGACCCCCTAAACTTATAGAAGGGTCTGACTTCTCCATGCACAACCAAAAATAAAACAAAGCGCTGGGGTTCCCCAAACTTATGGGGACTCCCCARCCTTGACGACCCGGTCAACCATCATACAAAACAAAACCCCATCCTGCCTTTCCCYAGATGCAGTTCCTTTCTAACAATTTGCTTTCATGCAGTCAACAAAGCTGAAACTGAAACTTGAACAAACATTTCTTTACTTAGTCTTGTTCAGTGTCCTGAAAGTCAAAACCAAAAATAAAGTAAGGYTGCACATCRTATATTCAGTCAGAGATGCATCAGGTAATACAAATAGGGGCTATAAGGTGGGTGTATAGAGGGAAGTGCAAAGGTTACCTGTCAATTCCCTGCCTCCAGAGCCTCGCCTAGGCTCCGGCAGAGCTCCCGVAATCGGTGGGCGGACTCCCCACARAGTMTTGATGCGGTCCTACRGGTTGCAATCCCGCCTGCCGCCTTCCCCTCAGAACAGGACTAGACTTAGAATAAGAAGGGTAGAAAGAGATGGTTTTGAGACTCTCAGGTACAAGAGGGCTGCTCTCAAGCTCACTGGAGAGGGCCTTGTAATCTTGATGCTCCTGAGGGCCCCGCAATGACAGTCAAGTGTGACAGCTTGGTCAACTCTCTTGGTCAAACCACTGAAGTCTAACTTCTGCTGGCTCTTCAAACTGCTGCCCTAGCCCTCTATCTGCCCAAATCTGATCACCTTTCTGGATCTCAACAAGCCTCCTTAACCCACTCGCGGCCACGCAACAACTAGCCTCCGCCCTTAAACGTTACAGCGATATGTAGTGGCAGCCAATAACG